GCTTTTCAGTCCTGGATTCGTTTTTTTGTTGTTTTCTCTCTCTCTTTTCTCTCGTTTCTCTCCTCACTTTATTCTCTTATTATTCTTTTTCTTCCTATCTCTCGTTTCTCTCCTCTCTTTATTCTCTCTCTCAGTGAGTCAGTGTGTTGTCTGTGTGAGATGAACGTCAGTGTTCTGACTGTTGCAGGTGTTTGTACCCAGTGAGTAAACAGTGTAAATAATGTGTAAACACTGCGTGAAAACTGAGTAAACAGTGAGTAAACCATGTAAACATTGTGTAAAAAGTAAACGGTGCCTAAAGGTCTGTATCTTCAGAGGTTTTTTGAGATGTAGAGGTTTAAAAGGGGGCGTGGCCTTACGTTAAAACCACTTTACTGTTCTTCATTTTCTTCTTCAGCACTTGTGTCAGATGTGTGTGTTCGTCTCTGTATTCGTCTCTCGCTGTATGACTGTCATGTAAATGAGCAAAAATAAAAATAATTAAAGAAACACCTTTAAAAAGCCAGTCATTTCGTGTGATGTCGTCCGTCACATCGCATATCCGTCACCGGCCTTCTGATCTCCCAGCTGCCCACCAGCTGACCCACCGGCTACTTCATCACCGCATCACTTCCTCCAGCTGTCGTCGTGGTGACGACTGTCAGAAACGCAGATCTACAGAAACGCGGTTCAATTAGCAGAACGTTCACTGTGAGAGCACGAGAGCCGGAGGAGCCGAGAGCAGCAGAGCGGCAGAGCTTTGATTACAGTCAGTGAGCAGCACACACACACACACACACACACACACTTACTCACACTCACATACACACTAACATATACACACACACACTCACACAATTACTCACACTCACATACACACTAACATATACACACACACACTCACACAATTACTCACACTCACATACACACTAACATATACACACACATACTCACACGATTACTCACACTCACATACACACTAACATATACACACACACACACACACACTTACTCACACTCACATACACACTAACATATACACACACACACTCACACAATTACTCACACATACACACTAACATATACACACACTCACACTTACTCACACTCACATACACACTAACATATACACACACACACACACTTACTCACACTCACATACACACTAACATATACACACTCACACACACACTCACACTCACATACACACTAACATATACACACTCACACACACACACACTTACTCACACTCACATACACACTAACATACACACACACACTCACACAATTACTCACACTCACATACACACTAACATATACACACACACACTCACACAATTACTCACACTCACATACACACTAACATATACACACACTCACACTCACATACACACTAACATATACACACACACACTTACTCACACTCACATACACACTAACATATACACACTTACACTCACATACACACTAACATATACACACACTCACACTCACATACACACTAACATATATACACACACACACACTCACATACACACTAACATATACACACACACTCACACAATTACTCTCACATACACACTAACATATACACACACACAATCACTCACATACACTAACATATACACACACACACTCACAATTACACTCACATACACACTAACATATACACACACACACACACACACAATTACACTAACATATACACACACACACACAATTACTCACACTCACATACACACTAACATATACACACACACACTCACACAATTACACTCACATACACACTAACATATACACACACACACTCACACAACAGATCTACAGAAACGCGGTTCAATTAGCAGAACGTTCACTGTGAGAGCACGAGAGCCGGAGGAGCCGAGAGCAGCAGAGCGGCAGAGCTTTGATTACAGTCAGTGAGCAGCACACACACACACACACACACACACACTTACTCACACTCACATACACACTAACATATACACACACACACACTTACTCACACTCACATACACACTAACATATACACACACTCACACAATTACTCACACTCACATACACACTAACATATACACACACACACACACTTACTCACACTCACATACACACTAACATATACACACACACACACACAATTACTCACACATACACACTACATATACACACCACACCTCACACTTACTCACACTCACATACACACTAACATATACACACCACCACACACATTACACTCACACACACTAACATACACACACACACACATTACTCACACTCACATACACACTAACATAACACACACACACAATTACTCACACTCACATACACACTAACATATACACACACACACACACTCACACTCACCCACATACACACAACATATACCACACACACACACACAATTACTCACACATACACACTAACATATACACACACACATCACACTCACATACACACTACATATACACACACACACTCACACATTACTACACATACACACTAACATATACACACACACACACACTCACATACACACTAACATATACACACACACACTCACACAATTACTCACACATACACACTAACATATACACACACACACACTCACACTTACTCACACTCACATACACACTAACATATACACACACACACTCACACAATTACTCACACATACACACTAACATATACACACACACACACTCACACTTACTCACACTCACATACCACTAACATATACACACACACACTCACACAATTACTCACACATACACACTAACATATACACACACACACTCACACAATTACTCACACATACACACTAACATATACACACACACACACACACACAATTACACTCACATACACACTAACATATACACACACACAATTACTCACACTCACATACACACTAACATATACACACACACACACACACAATTACTCACACTCACATACACACTAACATATACACACACACACTCACACAATCACACTCACATACACACTAACATACACACACACACTCACAATTACTTACACTCACATACACACTAACATATACACACACTCACACACACACTTACTCACACTCACATACACACTAACAAACACACACACACTTACACTCACATACACACTAACATATACACACACACACACTTACACTCACATACACACTAACATATACACACACACACACTTACTCACACTCACATACACACTAACATATACACACACACACACACTTACTCACACTCACGTACACACTAACATATACACACACACACACACACACACACTTACTCACACTCACATACACACACACACACACACTTACTCACACTCACATACACACTAACATATACACACACACACTTACACTCACATACACACTAACATATACACACTCACACACACACACACTCACATACACACTAACATATACACACACACACACACACTTACTCACACTCACATACACACTAACATATACACACACACACACACAATTACTCACACTCACATACACACTAACATATACACACACACACTCACACAATTACTCACACTCACATACACACTAACATATACACACACTCACATACACACTAACATATACACACACACACTTACTCACACTCACATACACACTAACATATACACACTTACACTCACATACACACTAACATATACACACACTTACTCACACTCACATACACACTAACATATACACACTTACACTCACATACACACTAACATATACACACACTTACTCACACTCACATACACACTAACATATACACACACACACACACACTTACTCACACTCACGTACACACTAACATATACACACACACACACACACACTTACTCACACTCACATACACACTAACATACACACACACACACACACTTACTCACACTCACATACACACTAACATATACACACACACACACACACACACTTACACTCACATACACACTAACATATACACACTCACACACACACACACTCACATACACACTAACATATACACACACACACACACACTCACACTCACATACACACTAACATATACACACACACACTCACACAATTACTCACACTCACATACACACTAACATATACACACACACACTCACACAATTACTCACACTCACATACACACTAACATATACACACACATACTCACACAATTACTCACACTCACATACACACTAACATATACACACACATACTCACACAATTACTCACACTCACATACACACTAACATATACACACACACACTTACTCACACTCACATACACACTAACATATACACACTTACACTCACATACACACTAACATATACACACACTTACTCACACTCACATACACACTAACATATACACACTTACACTCACATACACACTAACATATACACACACTTACTCACACTCACATACACACTAACATATACACACTTACACTCACATACACACTAACATATACACACACTTACTCACACTCACATACACACTAACATATACACACTCACACAATTACTCACACTCACATACACACTAACATATACACACACACAATCACTCACATACACTAACATATACACACACACACTCACAATTACACTCACATACACACTAACATATACACACACACACACACACAATTACTCACACTAACATACACACACACACACACACTTACTCACACTCACATACACACTAACATACACACACACACACACACACAATTACTCACACTCACATACACACTAACATGTACACACACACTCACAATTACTCACACTCACATACACACTAACATATACACACACAATCACTCACATACACACTAACATATACACACACACTCACACACTTACTCACACTCACATACACACTAACATATACACACTCACACTCACACACTAACATATACACACACACACAACAATTACTCACACTCACATACACACTAACATATACACACACACACACACAATTACTCACACTCACA